TATGACAACGCTCAACCACTGAGCCATGCTAGGTGGGCCAACACCTATTTTTTATAAAAATTCTCAGCAAAGTAGGAATACAGGGAGCATATCTCAACATGATAAAGGCTATTTATGACAAACCTACAGCTAACATCATACTCAATGGGCAAACATTAAAACCATTTCCCCTAAGAACAGGAACAAGATAGGGATGTCCACTTTCACCACTCTTATTCAACATAGTACTGGAAGTACTAGCCACAGTGAACAGACAAGAAGAAAAAATAAAAGGCATCCTAATTGGAAAGGAGGAAGCAAAACACTCATTTTTTCCAGACTAGAGGCCCAATGCACAAATTCGTGCACGGGTGGGGTCTGGCTGGCCCCGCCCCAATCAGGTGGTTGGGGCTGGGCTGGCAGGGGTGGGGTGGGGGGCGAGGAGAGGAGGGAGATGGAGCCACAGGAGGTTGGCCAACCAGCCCTGCCCCCGATCAGGGTGGGGGTGGTCAGCTACTTTGGGGGAAGGGCTGCAGAAGGTTGGCCAACCAGCCACACTCCCTATTGGGGTGGGGGGTGTGACCAGGAGTGGGCTGGCCAGGGGGAGGGGCTGCAGGAGGTTGGCCGCCAGCCCCAGCCCCAGCCCCAATCAAGTCAGTTGGTTGGCCACAGTTTGTGTCATAGCGACCAGTCATACTGGTCACCTAGCTTTTATACATGATATTGTATATAGAAAGCTCTAAAGCAGTGGTTCTCAACCTTCCTAATGCCGCGATCCTTAAATACAGTTCCTCATGTTGTGGTGACACCCAACCATAAAATTATTTTCATTGCTACTTCATAACTGTAATTTTGCTACTGTTATGAATCTTATGTAAATATCTGATATGCAGGATGTATTTTCAGGGGTCGTGACCCACAGGTTGAGAACCACTGCAAGACTTCACCAAAAAAACTACCAGATTTAATAAACGAATCTGGCAAAGTTGCAGGATACAAAATCAACACCCAAAAATCAATGGCTTTTTTTATACACCAATAATGAACTCACAGAAAGAGAAACTAAACAAATAATCCCATTTACCATTGCAACAAATAAATGATGACACTTAGAAATAAACGTAACCAAGGTGGCAAAAGAACTGTCTTGGAAAACTATACGATGTAGAAAAAAAAGGTAGAAGAAGATATAAACAAGTGGAAGAATATACCGCGTTCATGGGTTGGTAGAATCAACATCATTAAAATGTATATTATTCAAGGCAATCTAAAGATTCAATGCAATGCCTATTAAAATACCAATAGCATATTTCACCGATCTAGAACAAGTACTCCAAAAATTTATATGGCATCAAAAAAGACCCCGAGTAGTTGCAGCAATGTTGAGAAAGAAAAACAAAGTTGGAGGAATCACAATACCAGATTTCAAGTTATACTACAAAGCCACCATAATCAAAACAGCCTGGTACTGGCACAAAAACATGCATCTGGATCAATGGAACAGAATAGAGAACCCAGAAATCGACCTAAGCCATTACGCTCAATTAATATTTGACAAAGGAGGCAAAAGCATACAATGGAGTCAAGACAGTCTCTTCAATAAATGGTGCTGGGAAAATTGTACAGATACATGGAAAAAAAAGAAAAAAAGAAATTAGACCCCCAACTTACACCATACACAAGAATAAAGTCAAAATGGATAAAAGACTTAAACGTAAATTGGAAACCATAAAAATCCTAGAAGAAACCATAGGCAGCAAAATCTCAGACATCTCTCATAGCAATATGTTTATGGATACATCCCCTAGGGCAAAGGAAATTGAGAAAATAAACAAATTGGACTACATCAAAATAAAAAGCTACTGTACAGCAAAAGAAACGATCAACAAAATAAAAAGGGAGCCCACTATGTGGAAGAACGTATTTGGCAATGATACATATAATAAAGGGTTAATATCCAAATTATATAATAAACTCATACAACTTAACAAAAGAAAGGCAATCCAATTAAAAAATGGGCAAAGGACCTAAATAGACACTTCTCCAAAGTGGACATACAGGTAGCCAAGAGACATATGAAAAAATGCTCAAAGTCACTGTCATCAAAGAGATGCAAATTTTAACCATGAGTCATCACCTCATATCTGTCACAATGGCTGTCATCAACAAATCAACAATGACAAGTGCTGGCAAGGATGTGGAGAAAAGGGAACACTAGTACACTGCCAGTGGGAGTAGTCGGGTGCAGTCATTATGGAAAAACAGTATGGAGTTTCCTCAAAAAGTTAAATATGGAACTGCCATTTTGACCCAGTGATCCCATTTCTAGAAATATATCCTAAGGAACCCGAAACACCAATCACAAAGAATGTATGCACCCCTATATTCATAGCACAGTTTACAATAGCTAGGATGTAGAAATAGCCCAAGTGCCCATCAATAGATGAGTGGATAAAAAAGCTGTGTACATTTATACCATGGAATACTATGCAGCTGTAAAAAAGGAGAATCTCTTACCCTTTGAGCCAGCAAGGAAGGACCTGAAGAGCAGAGTTATCTATATATATATATAAAAACCTAAGTGACGGTTGACTGGTAGCTATGACACACACAGACGCTCAATGTATAGGCATGAAAACATGGAACAGACTGATGAATCTCAGAGGGAAGCGGGGAGAGGGGAGGTCGTGAAGAGATTAACCAAAGACCTTATATGCATACTAGAGGCCTGGTGCACAAAACTCGTGCATGGGGTGGGGGATTGGGGTGTCCCTCAGCCCAGCCTGCACCCTCTCCAATCTAGGACCTCTTGGGAGATGTCCGACTGCACCCTCTCCAATCTGAGACCTCTTGGACATCCTTCTCACAATCTGGGACTGCTGGCTCCTAACCACTCACCTGCCTTCCTGCCTGATTGCCCTAACTGTTTCTGCCTACCAGCACGATCACCTCCTAACCGCTACCCTGCCGGCCCCTTCACCCCCAACAGCTACCCTGCTGGCCTGATTGATGCCTAACTGCTCCTCTGCCAGCCCAATCGCCCCCAACTGCCCTCCCCTGCCAGCCTGGTCACCCCTAACTGCCCTCCACTGCTGGCCTGGTCACCCCAACTGCCCTCCCCTCTGGCCTGATCTCACCCCCAACTGCCCTCCCCTGCCGGCCATCTTGTGGTGGCCATCCTGTGATGACATGAGGGAGTAGCGTGAGAGCCACCTAGGCTTTTTTTTGTATAGATATAAATAACACATGGACACAGATAATAGGGTGGTGAAGGCTTGGGGTGGGGGCAGGGGAGGCATGGAGAGGGTCAATGGGAAAAAAGGGTGACATATGCATACTTTCAACAATATTTATTAAAAAAAAAAAAAACAAGAAAGAAAGAAAGAAGAAGGGGAACCCAGCAGACAGCAACTTAACCAAGTGATCCAGGTTAATAGCCCCAGTGATAAGACACATGGACACCAAGAACTCCCTGATACGATGCGCTGAGGAGGGCACATGACCTCTGTGGTGTTCTGCCAAATATGCATAACCTCTAGACATGAGAAAACATCAGACAAACCCAAACTGAGACAGTCTACAAAATAACATAGTTGTCTTCTGAACAACCATTATAGATCGGAGATTAAGGAGACATGACAATTAAATGCAGTATGGGGTCCTGGATAAGATCTTGGGACAGAAAAAGGACATCAGTGGAAAAACTAGTGAAATGTGACTAAAGTCTGTTATTTAGTTCATAATACTGGACCAGTGTTAATTTCTTCGTTTGAACAGTTGTGTTAAACTTATTTAAGATAGGAATATTAGGGGAAGTTGGGTGATGGGTATGTGTATGTAAATTCTGTACTATTTTTACAACATTTTTGTAAAACTAAAATTACTTCAAATAAGAAAGTTAATAATTGTGCTAAGAAGCATCCTTTGATGGAAATCTGGACCCTAGAGACTGTCCCACAAACATGCTACTGGTATCTAGGCAGAACCTTAGGTCAGAATGAAGAAATGCAATGGTATTCAATAAACAGCCAAGAGAGAAGTTACAGATCCACTCAGTTCCCAAAGCTCCACTGACTAGTGTCTGCAATTGAGCCAACATCACTGCCTGAATCCAGAGTCTGGAAGCCAGAATCTTCTACTCTCCCACTTTCTACCGTGTTGGAGTCTTGGTGCTTTGAGAATCAGACAACACCCCCTAAGCCAGTGGTTCTCAACCTTCCTAATGCCACGACCCTTTAATACAGTTCCTCATGTTGTGGTGACCCCCAACCATAAAATTATTTTCGTTGCTACTTCATAACTGTAATTTTGCTACTGTTATGAATCGTAATGTAAATAACTGATATGCAGGATATATTTTCATTATTACAAATTGAACATAATTAAAGCATAGCGATTAATCACAAAAACAATATGTAATTATATATGTGTTTTCCGATGGTCTTTGGTGACTCCTGTGAAAGGGTCGTTTGACCCCTAAAGGGGTCGTGACCCACAGGTTGAGAACCGCTGCCCTAAGCACCCTCCCTGCATCCTGCCAACAAAGGCTGGTGTCCCACTTAGAAATGGCCCAACAGGAATCCCTCATATTCTGAGGCCCACTCCCCTGCTTAGACTGTATCCCAAAGAAACACAAGAAAGTATTCATTAACAATCCCCATGAAACTTAAATGTAACATATTCGAAACCCTTACGTGTAATTATGTGTAAACTAGAGGCCTGGTGCATGAAATTCGTGCACAGATACAGTCCCGAGGCCTGGCCGGCGATTGAAGCGCAAGCGTCTGGCGTGGAAGGGCAGGTCCCAGTTGACCTCTGGGCCTTGGGCAGCACCTGGGCCTCTGGGTCCCCACATGCCCCCCTCCACCTGAGTTATTGGGCCCCCACCTGGCTCCCTCAGCACCTGGGAGCTGGATGGTGGCCCTGTTCCCCTCCACTGCCGCTGATCGCGATCTGTGGGGCAATTGGTGGGGCAACTGGGCCCCACTCACACCTGTCTTGGCCTGGTGCTGCCCACTCACCTGCTCCACCATACCACCTCAGGCCCACTCTGGTCAGGGTCCATCGGAGCTGGCAATGCCTCCACTGCTGCCCGCTGCCAGCTCTGTGTAGCTGATGCCCGCCATGTTCTGCACCGCCCCCTGGTGGTCAGCGCACGTCATAGTGAGCAGTCGAACTCCCAAACTCCCAGTAGAGGGGACAATTTGCATATTAGGCTTCTATTATATAGGATACCTACACTGTATTTTTTGTTTATGGAGGAACAGCACATCCACACGGGTGGGTGATGGGGCCATTTTCTGTCATGATTGTAGTGACAGTAACACAACTGCATGCATTTGCCTAAACTCAGAAACTATATACCAAAGATTGAATTTTACTTTCTGTAAATTTAAAAAACTGAGTTTAAAATGTTGAAAAAAAAGAATGACACACTGATGCATGCTATGAACAAAGATTTCCAAGGTATATTACTGTTGAGGACAGTGGGAAGCTGCTATAGAGGTAGCAATCACATAGAATGGCTTTTCTCTTTAAATGGCAAACTAAAAAAAAATACACACACACACACACACACATACATATATGATCATGAAGGGGAAGAGGTCTGGCAGGACACCTACCCAACTTCTGGCGGTAACTACTTCTGAGGAAGTTAGACTTTTGGTATAGAGGGGCAATGAAGGAGACTTCCATCTCTCCCTTGACATTCTTTCAAATTCATTAAAAAAAAAAAAGCTTAGGTGTACTAGTTGTAAAATGTAAGCAAACAAATAACCATACTGTACTCACCCTTAGTACATTCTGAACTCTAGTGTTCCTTGAGGGTCCCAGGAGAGCTGATGTCAAAGATCGTGCTTCTACAGAGACAGAAAAGAATAAGGCTATATTTTTGGCCAACCGGAGCCTTTCTGCTAATTGTATTCTGTCATTTACAAATTCACTCCCTCAACAAGTATTTATTGAGCACCTGCTCTGTGCCAGGCACCAAGGGATACCAGTGATCAAGACAAAGTTGTTATCCTCAGGGAGCAGGCATTCCATTAGGTGAGGAAGACAATAAACACACAATATGAAGTCAGGGAGGAGGGTGTGGAGAGTGATGCAGCTGCTATTTCACAGAGTGGTCAGAGGCTTGAGGAGAGGACAGAGACATGAATATAAGAGACTAAGAACTATGTGGCTAGCTGAGAAAGAATATTCCAGGTCACCAGAATGGCAGAGGACCTGAGGCAGGTATATGTAGGGGGAGCATTTGAGTAGCAACAGGAGGTTCATATGCCTTGTGCAGGGTGAGTGAGGGGACAAGTGGTAGGAGAGGAGGACAGGGAGGTGACTGGGGCAGATAGTAGGCTATTCTGAGCACATTTCCTTCAGACACTTGCGAGGAGTGGCAGAGAAATAGCACTTATCCTCACATGTAACTTTATATTATTAAATTACTAGTGGCCTGGTGCACGAATTCATGCACATTGAAAGGAAATTAATTAGAAGAAATATTTTAATATTGCTATTTACCCTTTCTATATAATAGAAGTAGCAACCAAATTCATGATCAACAATGACAGATCAAAAAACACGTGTGCGATTGGTGCCAGTGTGAGCTTTATATGTATTGCGCATGCGCAAGTCAACTTTTATTTTTAAATTGTCAGTGCGGGTCATATGTATTGGCACGTAGGTCGGTCGGACGGTCAGATGGATGTAAGGTCGGTCACCTAGCCTTTCATATACATAGATCATTATATTGGTTGGTTTGATCCACATGAAACTGCCATTTTTGTAGGTAAAATATGGTTTAATATAAGCAATGTCATATGATTCAACCCGACATTAGGAATAATGATCATTTCTTATCTATCCTATACCAGCAACTGTGTTGGTGTTTTCTGCAGGTCATGTAATTTTATTTCCGTGGTAACTCTATGAGGTAG